GCACTGTGTTGCCATTTCTTTTCAGTGACATCCCAACACACCTTCCATTGGGCAGATGTTGCACTGCCGTGCAATGCACAGTACTACAAAACTGTGTGTTGCGCTAAAAAAAAGTCATGCAATGCAGACTTTTTACCACCACTTGACAATGCATGTTATTGCAGGACTATGCAGTGCACATCACTGCAACGCACACCCACCAGGAGGTGCATTGAAGTGCCACTGAGAATGAATGACAACACACCAGCGCACCTAGCATGTGGTACTGTGCACTGTGAGATAGCATATGCTAAGCATGGATTCTGTGCTATGTTGTGAATGGGCCCTAAGTGATCCTGTTACTTTATCCTGCATGTTTACTTTATACAGTCAGACTAGGTGTGGGCACTGTGTTCTGGCTGTGTAGTTTAGGGAAACAATAATTAAGGGAAACAATAATTAACACATTAGTGCCATCCCAGCTTTGGAGGCAAAGCTGAGGCAAAATTGTGAATATTTAATATTCATAGATCTACACATCTGTGCTATAAGTTGGAATGGACCATAGTACCGTGGTCTTCATCTAGGGTTGCCACCTTTACTGCAAGCGAAACCCGAACACTCTAGCGACACGCAGACATATTTTTTGGGGAGAATGAGTCATGGCTTATTCATATGTAAAAGGCACCACCCATTAATATGTAAATATCACAGTTGAGACTATTTTTAGTAAGGGGCAGTAGCCCCTATCTTAATTTTGGTTGCCCCCGTCTACCTGACATCTTGTGTCCGGGTTCCTGGTGCCATGAAACCCGGACACAGCATTCAAAACCCGAACTGTCCGGGTGAATCCTGGACAGGTGGCAACCCTATCTTCATCCGACAGCACCAACCATATATTTACATTAATCCTGTGAAGGTTTAGGTCCAGCCAAAACTTTCTTCTTTAGTATTGGATAGATTGTGGAAGAATAGTACCACTGTCAGATTTGTACTGCTATCAGGGGCTCCATTAGTGAGATTTACGCTCACTTCATGTCCTGCACACAACATTTTAACCAAACAGGAAGTGAAGGAAGATCTGCAACAGCAACACAGGCAGAATTAAAAATGCTTTTCTTTAGCAGTGTAGGTGAAGGCTAGAACCCAAGTCAGATTTGTATAGCTGTTTGTGTCCCTCTGGCAGATTTTCTCTTAATTCCTGTCTGGTAAAACGTTTGTCAGCAGGACAGAAAGTGAGTGTAAATTCCTGTAACAGAGCCATGTATAGTTCCTCTTGCTGCATTCTCAATAGTATAAAGCAATGGTGGTCAACTTAGTTACTATAGGGAGCCTCAAGTGCGAACATCAACATGTCCAGAGGGCTGCACAAAAGGTTTGTTTTCATAAATGTTGTGCTGCGTTAATGCAGGTAAAACATATGTCCTACTATGCATTACCACAATGCATGGTAACCTGCACCTCTGTGCATGCATGCGTTATAGTGCCATTCAATTCAAATGATACCCCAACTCACTGTTACAGTGGCAGACAACACATTCGCACTGCGCTCCTATGGAGCACTCGGTAGCAGGAGCAGAAGCCCAGGAGCTAATCAATTCAGCATCTAGGCTTAGTGCTGCCCGTGGCTCTCACTGACAGCCGGCAGTTGCAGTGCTAAAGCCCACAGGAGCCACTGTCCCTCAGCATGCAACCCACTGTACTCCAGACCTGATTATAGGTCTGGAAGACAATGGGCAGCACGCAGAGTGCTAGTGGGCTGCTTGCTTGGCACCATGGGTCTATTTGCATATGGGTTGTTGTAAGCATGTTTCAAAATTATACACTGGTTCTATAATACACTTTTTATATACCCAAATAATAATAGATAAATATAAATGATCCCATTAAAGGAGTTGTAAAGTCCCAGCATACATTATCCTGTTATAACATCATAGATAGTAATACATACTAGAGATGTTTTTGATAATGTAATCAAAGGTTACTTTATCCCTTTTATGTAGTGAGTGCTGCCTTCTGTCTGCCCATCGCTTTCATCAACTTCCTGGATCCCCAGTGTGCTTTGCGTCCCCCCCCCCCTGCTGCTTGATGTGTTGTTGCAATCTCGATTTCTCAAGATGCATATCCCATCATGCATTGCTTCCAGCAAACAGTGATGATGTTACATTGCGTGTGTTTCCTGTGTTCACTGTGAAACAGGAGGAAAGAATTGTAGTTCAATAGCAGGCTTTGTCAGAGTGGTGACACAAGGAAGTGCATATTCACATGGCTGAGTGAAATTGTGTCAGTGTGTTGAGGAAGTACATCCTATGAACATCTTCAATGAGTACGTTTACAAACTTCTAGATCGATATGGATTTTAGGAGTGGGATGAAATTCAATATAGAAATACTGTACTTATTTATTTTTAGGTTTTGACCATAGATAGTTACATAGTATTTGAGGTTGAATAAAGACATTAGTCCATCAAGTCCAACCTAAACCTAGATATCTTTTAAGAGTAATTTAACAAAAAAAAAATTAGTGATTTACATAATTATTACTACACAGGCCTCTGTCAGAAGACCTTAAGGTGTTGTTCACACCAAATGCAGAGCAGATCTGAATGAGTTTCTGCACACGCAGTGCAGTGGGTTGTGCTGCGTTATTGCCGCGTTTTTGATGCGTTCCGGGCCGTTTTTGGTAAAAAAATATATTTTTATTTTTTTTAGTTTAAAATGGGCTTTCAGTGCGTTCCAGGGCATTTGCATGCATTTTTGATGCGTTTGCATGCGTTCCAGAGCAGGTAAAATAGGGCCTGCTGCAGTTTTTTTACCTGCTCTGGAACAGAAGGCTGCGATGTGAACTGGAGCTAAAAATGCCATTGGAATACATTGGACGCAGTTTTGCTCCGGTCTGTAACTGCTCTGCTCCTGGAACGCGCTTGGTGTGAACAAGGCCTTAGCAGCAAGAAGCAGCTTGCACTGACACTCTTTGGACTGTGTCTAGAAGCTGCTTGATGCCTGCACACCAAAACCTCCTACACCACACCATGACTTGCTGCGTTCACTGTACGCCAGGAATGGGAACGGCTTGCCCTGGTAGCTAGCCTGGGAGGATCTTACCCAGGATTGAGAGATGTTCTGCGGATGGCCTGCAGCCTGCACTCCTATGGAGCACAGGGAAGCAGGAGCAGAAGCCCAGGAGCTGATCAATTCTCTTGAGCTTGGTTTTAAAGAGAACCTGTTGTTAGCTAAGCGAAGTAACACGTTTGCTAGCACTCCCTAAAGCTGGCCATACACCTATAGATTATCTGCAGATATTCTATGGTCAGATTGAAAAAGTGTAACAGATTTCTCCATCTACACTAAACTGTGTGAATGGAGGAATCTCCCGCTGGGCCAAGCTTCAGTATCCTGCTAGTCGGCCCTGCTGGCTCTCAAAATACCTGAGCAATCTGACTGGATGCAGGCATTGTTCAGGTGTTTTGAGAGCCAGCTGGGCCGACTAGCTTGGCCCAGTGGGAGATTCCTCCATCCACACAGTTTAGTGTAGATGGAGGAATCTGTTGCGCTTTTTCCATCTGACCATAGAAAATCTGCAGATTATCTATAGGTGTATGGTCTTGTTAAAAATCTGTTTTTTGCAGAGGGGATGCAAAGGGGGTGGTGGTGGGGGCTAAGCTCTAATAAGCATAAAATAGGGTTTTAAGTGCAGAGACGTTAACAAGTTACTAAACCCAATTAAAAAAAACACTCATATTCAGTCACTTAATTGGAAGTCATCTGTGTCCCTTACAATGACAGCAAAGGACAGAATATCACTAAAAATAACATTCAATAATCCAAGCTGCCTCTTCCTTTCTGAGAGTGGCTACGTTCGCTCTACATGGTCCACTGTATGTGGGAACGTAGCCACCCTCCTCTACTCACTCCTGACATGGACTGCAGTAACGCATGGTTAGCATTCCACACTGGCAAGTAAAAACACAGAGAAAATGCCCATTGATGAAATTGCTGCCCACTATGATTGTTCAGTGACACTTTATGTCCTTGAGAGGCAAAAGTGTATAATTTTTAATGCACAGATGTGCACTTTTCCTAAGACATTAGATCAGAGGTAGGCAACCTCGGCAATCCAGCTGTTGTGGAACTACAAGTCCATTGAGGCATTGTAAGACTCTGACAGTCACAGTCATGACTCCAAGAGACAGATACTTGTTGGGAATTGTAGTTTCACCACAGATGAAGTGCCAAGGTTGCCTACCCTTAAATTAGATCATGGATGGCCAAACATTTCACGTGGCCCATGTGTTGTGTGCACACGTGGTTATGGCTGTTCCTTTTACCTGCTTAGGGGTAGCCAAACTCCGGCCCTCCAGCTGTGGTGAAACTACGAATCCCATGAGGCTTTGCAAGATTCTCACAGCCACAGACCTGACTCCCGGATAGAGATGCTTCATGGGATTTGTAGTTTCACCACAGCTGGAGGGCCGGAGTTTGGCCATCCCTGAATTAGATGAACAGTGAGCAAAGTTGCATTATTTAGTCATGTACAGGCGCTGCTACCTGTGCAAACCTTGGGGTAGCCAAACTTCGGCCTACCAGCAATGGTGAAACTACAAATCCCTTCATGCATCTGCCTCTGTGAGTCATGTCTGTGGAGGTTGAGTCTTGCAATGCCTAATGGAACTTGTAGTTCCACAACAGAGTGAGTGCCACAGTTTGGCTACCCCTGCTATAGTCTATAGACTTTCCTACAATGTTCAGCGACACCCTGTGCTATTCTTTCATTTTGGAAATACACCCGTGTTTCAGCAGCATGTCACAAAATTCTTGCCTGTATTCACAATCATTTGAACACACACATGTACAAGTCTGCTGTCCTAGGTGACCTGAAGACCTAAGCTGAAAGAAGCCATCATGATATCATGTAAACGCTTTGTTTTCCCACAATGATGTAATCAGGGAGATTCTGGGCAGAGAAGGGTTACAGGAGGGTGTGGTGCGGGGAGGCTGATTAATGCCGCTCAGCACCTGTCCCTTATTGTGTGAGAGCTCCTGAACCTGTGCTGGGAGGACTGAGAACATTGTGCATTGCTAAGGGGGACACTGGATGGTGAGTATCGGTGGGAACAACGACTGTCCCTCCAAACTTTTTCACCAGCTGATCAATGTTGTGTATATTTGTGACCTGTGGGTGTTTATGGTGGAACAATGGTGCTTCCTTCCCTGCTGTGTACAAGAGATCTCATTTTACTAAACTGACCTTCTATGGTTAGCCACAGAGAGCAGGCAAATAATTCTCACAGGGCTACACCCGGGAATGGCAGCCAAAGGGATAATAGAGCTGGACTGGAGAAAATATCATGAAGCCTTTACATTGAAAATATAAAGGACCTTTTCATAGCCATAGCGTGCTTCAAAATGGAAACGCGTATGTTCTAGCTGATTAAAGTGACTCTAAACTCAGGAGTTAAATCTTAAATGCATTCAAATACCTTAAGTAATAACAAAAAGGTGTCTTATTTGTGTATCATTCAGCTGTAGATGCTCAAATCATCTTTGACTTGGTGCTGACACTGTCCTTCCTTCTGGAGGGTGGCTACTTTTGTTCCCCCATAACCATGTGTGTTATAAAGTAGCCACCGCTTCAAGCTCACTACTGTGATGGGACTACAATCTCATGTTTAGTTTACTAATTTTGTATTGAGATTGTAGTCCTATTTGTGATACACAAATAAGATTAATTAAGTCTTAAAATGCATTCAAGCACCTTAACTCATGGGTTCAGTGTCACTTTAAAGTATAACTAAAGGCAAGTCCTCTTGGCTATAGCTGTATGGTGGGATAGAAGCACTGTAAGGTTTTTATTACTGCCTGTGTCCCCGTTCATTCTCTAGTTGTCCTGATCAACAATGCACCTGGACTGAAAAGTGGGGGGCAAGTCCAAAATGTTCAGTTGCTGCCAGAACAGGAAACTGGGGGGGAAAGCTTTCAATAGAGACACTTGTGAAAACTGTTAAGGTGCCCATACACCTTACAATAATCTGCAGATTTTCTATGGTCAGATGGAAAAGGTGCAACAGATTCCTCCATCTACACTTAACTGTGTGGATGGAGTAATCTCCACCTGGGCCAATCCGTTGCACTTTTTCCATCTGACCACAGAAAATCTGCAGATAATTGTAAGATGTATGGGCACCTTTTTTAAAAGGCATTTTCTATTGGAAAGATAATGCTCTCGCTTCCAGGTCAATCTCTAGGACAAGTAAATGGAAATCTCCATAATGACATCAAGCTAGCAAAAGAAAATGATTTTAGACTTCCATACTCTATCCATAATGGTAGCAAAATTATGATTTTTGGCTTTAGAAATATTTTAAATTGGTTAATTCTAACCTGTGAAGTGTACATTACTTTTATCCAGAGCTGTAATTAAGCTGGCTATGGGTTTTGAGTGTCAGCCATGTGCTCTTTGTTTTCATATTTCAGATAGTGTGTGTCCTATATATTTTTTTTTTTTTGCATTTGTGGTCCTAAAATCTGGGCACCTCCAAATCGGCTTGTGATGTAGTAAACATTTCACGTGGCCCATGTGTTGTGTGCATACGTGGTTATGGCTGTTCCTTTTACCTGCTTAGGGGTAGCCAAACTCCGGCCCTCCAGCTGTGGTGGAACTACAAATCCCTTGAGGCATTGCAAGATTCTCACAGCCACGGATATGACTTCCAGAGAGATGCATCATGGGATTTGTAGTTTCACCACAGCTAGAGGGCCAGAGTTTGGCTACCCCTGTGCTACACCATAGCTCCCTGCTGTTCCTCTGCTCTAATTGAATCCCCCTTTCTTCCTAATTGGCTTGGGTACAGTGCAGTAGAACATGCATCAATAACCCATGCAGTGAGTTGTCGTGCCATTCATTGTAAAGTATATACATACAGGATTTATAAAACGAACAGTTTGCGCAGCGTTTTACAAAATGGAGGGAGAAAGTACAGTTACAATACAATTTCAGTAGAGGAGGGTTAGGAGGGTCCTGCTCTTGAGAGCTTACAATCTAGTAGGAGGGACAGGTGATACAAAAAGTAATAATTGTGTGGGATGAGCTAATGGGAAGACGTTAAAGGGCAGTTATTATGTCAAGGTGGGATGGCAATTTTTTATTTTTTTTTTCTCCCAATTTTGTGCATTTTCTTGTTCTGCACCCCTGAAAAAGTAACAAAATAAATTAAACTTGATGGTAAAAAAAGAACTAGCTAAGTGGAGGAAGGAATTGGCGTTAACAAGGGGTTAAGTAGGAATACATTTGACTTAATGGTGGGGGCTTGGGTGGAGAGGAGATTCACCCAAAGGTGCCCATACACTGCATGATTATCGTACGATAATCGTATGCGATCGGTTTTTCGTACGATAATCGTGCAGTGTGAACGGAGACGTGCGACCGTTTCTACTGTACGGTCGCACGTCTTCTGTCGAACCAGCATGTTCGAAAACCAGCCGGGAATCGTACGATTCTCGGCTGGTTAGAACGGTGCTCGGAAGACAAATGCCGAGCGGGCCGGTGTGCGCACGCGCACACTGCCCGTTCAGCATTGCGGTCATCGGAAGCCCGCCCCTCAGGGGGGCGGGCTTGCGATGGAGAGTGCGATCTGCCTGTCCAAGATAGGCAAATCGTACGTTTTTTTAATCCCTGTACAACCATCGCAAGACTAAAGTCTTGCGATGGTTGTAGAGTGTATGGCCACCTTTAGAGATGCTTGCTTAAAACATTGAACTTTTTTTAAGACTTATTGCTTACATTCAAGATCCTCAAGTATTAACTCTTCCCCACACTGTCCAAAACGAAAAACATTTTGGCTTTTAGATGTACTTTAGTGTTACATTGAACCAAGTTTTTCATCCAACATCTGTTTGAACATAGATCTAGTTCTTTTAAGGTGAAAAACTGTGGGTTTAACTGATCCCACATGCGCGCACACAACACGTGTGTGTGGCAGGACTTCAGTGTAGACATGTAGGTAGTTGCCTAGAAAGCGAAGGCTTCCCTAAGCGATGATGTGAGAAGTCTGTAGCCTGCTGACCACATTCCAAAAATACTACTTGCCTGGCTTGCATAGTATTTGAGGTTGGAAAACAAAAACACGGGTCCATAAAGGTGTGTGTGTGTGTTCACACCGGGGCGGTTTGGCCGCACGGATTGGTCCCTATGGGGACCGTGCGATCCTAACCGATCACTGTGGTTTCCATACAGGCTTCTATGGAGACGCAATTCAACTCCCAAAACCTCCCTTGCAAGATCAGCACGGTAACCGCCGGTGTGAGTGGGCTCTAAGAGTACATGTACCCCTGTTATTACGGTCTCTTAGGACGCTATCTAATTGATTTTTGAATTAATCAATATTCTTTGCACTTGTGTACATTGATTCACTGATCCAGAACTAATGTGCATATTACTTCTAGAGGCCAGTGATTCAAAGTATTGATGCCCTCAGATCTGCAGGACAGCCAAGCAACTATCATTTTCAGAAGGAAAAGCCACTTAAAGCAGTCTACATATTTTTATCTGTGTAGGTTTCCTTAAAGCTATTTAGCTCAAAGCATTTGTCGTCTGGAATTTGGGGAGTGCTCAGCAGGCATCAGGAGCTTGTGCTGTGAGCAAAAACATAGTGTATACAAAACATGGAGGCAGCTATGGTAAGGGCCTGTTCACACATACTGCAGTGACCTGAATTGTACCGCACTGGATCAATACAGGTCACTGCAAGGATACATGGAAAACAATTGTTTCCATGTGTCCCATTCACACCACAACACAGTGGGTGGTGCGCTGTGATAAAATGCAAAAATGCTCCATTTTATTGCAGTGTACTGGATGACATCACATGTCGCCAACCTGCTGTGTGGGGAGCTGACTGGAGTGTACACATTGTAAACTCCACAAAGTAAAAAAAAAGTAAACAGTGACCGGCTCCGTTTTAGTGGGTGAGCTAGTGCATTGTGGCATCTCCGGCAGTGAATGTTGTATTGCACACTGCCGAAGTTGCTACAATGCACTAGCTAGTCCGCTAAAATAGAGTATTTTAGCCGATGAGTTAGTGTGAATGGGCCCTGAGTCAGAGTACAGCAAACTCCCCTGTTGTTCTTAAGATGGCGCCCTGCACAGAATGAACCCAGAAGTGCTCCACTAAGAGCACTTCATGTTTAGGTAACCTCAAGGAGGCAAGGGGGAGTAGGTAAACTGACCTGACCAAGTAAACAACAAGCAGAATGCAGACTTTGCACTCCTAGGTGATTGGGTAGAGTACAGTGCAGATGTCAGGAGTTCAATAGACCTCTGGCGTCTCCATAAAGAAAACCTGTCACCTTCAAATGCGCATAGATATCTATAGATATATTTTTGAGTAATTCTTTTAATAAAAGGGGGTGGGGGAGTAAAAGCCTACCCCCCTACACATAAATGTGAACACATGCATAGGGCGTGCATGCATACATAAAAGCCCCCACTATATACGCATACATGTGTATAGGGAGTGTATGTGTACATAAACAATGGCACTAAACATATTCGTTATGGCCTTGCATGCCAAACTGAGAACTATAATTCCCGGGGCCCTTTTATGTCTAACTCTAAAATGATGTAGTATAAAGGTGTTTAAAGAGTTTCCTATTGATAGTTTTGGGTAATGTAGTTTTTCCCTGTTTCAAGGCTTGACATATTTTGGTATCTATTTACTCTCAAGTCTCTTTTGTAAAATAAAAAAAAAACTATTGTGGTTTTACACTGACCTTCCTGTGGGGTTTTTTCCCACCCTGTTTTAAATTAGGGATGCTTTAGTACTTCTGCTAGCATGGAGCCGGTTTCCTGGGCAATGGGGAAGCCGGGTGGCATGTCATTACCTGCCGCCCGGCTTCCTGATTGGCCCAGGAAGCCGCCTCCATGTTCTCTCACGGAAGCAATACATACGATATAATGACAATAGAACCAATTAGGATTAAAATGATTGGACTAAGTTATGGTGCATTTACTGTGGCTAACAGATGGGATATCCATGTGATACATAAGTTGAATACCCAAACCGTGCCTGCAACTAATTGGATGCAGCC